GAAAAGAAAAGAAAAGAAAAGAAAAGAAAAGAAAAGAAAAGGATTGAAGGAGGGAAGGGAGGCAACCTTGATGTAATCAATCCCTATGACTCTGAATTAACTTTTCCAATCTTCAATTTCCCAATGAACAAAAGCCAGAAAAGAAAGGGTTGAGTTTTGACGATGAGAACTTGCTCATCGTTGTGTCTGATCTATTCATCGCTGGGTCAGAAACGACCGCAAGAACTCTCCAGTGGGGATTGCTCTACATGATGGCCTATCCAGAGATCCAAGGTAGGAAATAACAGCGGTCTTGACCAAACAAAATGAAGGAAAGCTTTTGTGAGTGATCTTAAATGCTGAGCAAGACTGAAGGCCGAATGGGTGGAGAACACAATTTGGTGCCCCAAAGGTCTGAGGCTCGATCATGGAGAATGGCTGGCCTAGGGAATGAGCAATTATTAAATTTAAGGTTTCCTTAATGGTTTTTAAAAATTGGTGTAAATCTCAGTTTTCCTAATTTACTAATGTTTAACAATTTGTAATATAGCTATTGTATTTTCAACCTGTGAGCCTGGTTCCGTTTTAATTGCTGTGACGTGCCTTGAGTCACCTATGTGCAGAAAGATGCCATGGAGAATGGTTGGTCTAGGGAATGAGCAATTGTTAAATTTAAGGTTTTCTTAATAGTTTTTAAATTGGTTTAAATCTGAGTTTTCATACAGATTAATGTTTAACTGATTTTAATATAGCTATTGTATTGTATTTCCAACCTGTGAGCCTCATTCCATTTTAATTGCTGCTGTGAGTCATCCATGGGGAGGAAGGAGCCATATAAATATTATCAATAAATAAACATTACATAGATAAGGCTGTCCATTCTGGATAAGAGGAAACTTTGGTCTCACCCTGGAAGGGTTTGGCCACACACACTGCGGTTTACCTGGGGCGCTCTCAACAGGCTATGCATTTCCCAACTGTGACAACATATGCCTGAATGTATCATATTAAAGTATACATTGGTGTCACCTTCCATGAGATAAGTGACTGAGATTTTGCTCCTCAGAGAAATGCCAGCAGGAAATGGATGCTGTTCTTGGGAACAATGCATGCTTGAAATATGAAGATCGGGAAAGGTTGCCTTACACAAATGCCGTCATTCATGAAATCCTCCGTTTTTCAAGTGTGGTGCCCTTGGGGGTAGAACATGCCCCAATCAAAGACATGATGCTTTCTGGATATGTAATTCCCAAGGTAAGACCAGACATGTCTGAGCGTGATTCATAAAGTCAAGCAGACATAGCCCCTTCCAAATGGCTCATTTTTACCCATCTCTTACATCAAGGATGAGGAATCTGCAAAGGTTTGGGCCTATAACTCTTTACACCTAAAAACATAGTCAGATCCTAGGGGAGAAACAAGAGAAGATAAGTGGCTGTTAATAACCAAGGGAACCTGTTGCATGGAGCAGAGCCATGCTTTGCATGCCAGGTAGCTACTGCATCAAACTGTGCTTTGCATGCCAGCAACCTGGTTCATGGAAATAAACTATGCTTTGCAGCTGAGGAAGC